GTATGAATAATTTTGATGCTAGCATTTATGCTAACACCGAGGATTTCTTAATGGTTTCAACTTTAACAAACGGTAAGACATTAGAAGATTCCATGGGTAAATTTCCTAGTCCACTTGGTCCTAAATTAATTTCTTTATTGGAAACTTTGGGGTGAGATAATATTTCCAAACTTGTAATAGTGATATGTAATATAATGTAATATATATTAGCTAAATTGACATCTCTTTCAACAATTTTAGATATCCTACTAAAAAATTACCAGAAAATAATTTCAAAGTTTGTAAAATCCTTTCACAACCACCATCACCATCACCAACTTCACCGTCAATTTTACCATTACCATCGTCAACAACCGCAGAATCAACAACTCTCGTATCAACAACAACTGTCCAGCAAAGTAATACGGAAGATATTTTAACCAAGACTACTTATGCTGTAACTGAAATCGAAACAGTGTCTAAAAGCGTTGTTACCGTAATCGAAATTGTTACTGGTCCTCCACCACAACAAACGATACCACCAACAAATGATAATCCCTCCCAAAATAATAATGATAATGATATAGATAATTTCGGTCAAGATATTTTCGGTTCTTCCTCATTAAATATTCAAAATAACCTTGCTTTAATGATTATTGCTTTAGTTTGTTGTATATTGGGAATTTTAAATACTTTATAATTTATTTATTTTTAAAAATTAATTGTATTTTTTATTAATTTCACATTTCGAGAAAATTTATTTTAAAAAAAAAAATGAATAGCACAAATTTTTGTGAATCGATAAAAAAAAAATACAAAAAATTTTCCTCTTACAATTTTAATTTTACAAATAAAATATAAATTTTCTCGTCATTCGTGTAAACAAATTTTTTTCCCTTCTATTCTAATTATGGTATTCAATCAGGATTATAGCTTAAAGAAAATTTGGGCAACTAAATTGCCCTTGGCGCAGCTCATTACATACAATAGCCGATTGAAAATATTACAATTGCAATACAATTTCGTTGTACTCTACAATTTCATCTAACTCAAGTTTGATGGCCGCGTGTAAAAAAATCGAATACCTCGGAGTCGGCCAATGAAACGATGGTACCACAATAAATGTACCTATAACATAAAGAGTAAACCAATTATTAAATACCTCGTGTTTCTTTTTTTTTTTCAAATTAAATATATTATAACCACTTTAGTAACTCTTCGAAAGCCTTAGGGATAATGTTAGGAATCATAATCTCGTAATGACCTACGCTTTTTGATAAGGCATTACGAAAAAAAAGATGATCTTGCGTACAGGGTGCCATGCATGTTTGATCGGTTACGTCGGTCGCAAATCTACTTGTTCGTAAATGGTAGCATAACCTTGTCGCATTCTTTCATGAAATTGAATCAGTCTATAAATTTTGTTTGTAATACATAAAATTTAGAAACATTTCATTTGTTAACCCTTTAAATAAAATTCTTTTGATGATAACATTAAACATACAATTTGTTATTTCTTCTCTTTTAAAAATATTATGACCATGCTCGACATTTTCCTACAATGATATATTTATCAGTGAATATTAAAAACGGATTCGTATGGTATGACTAACCTGGGTTAATTTTAAATCTTGGCTATCGAGAAATTCTTTGATTGCCGGATAGGGATGGTCAGTCGGTCCTGCGGTCTTTGATCGGTCTTATCGGTCTTTAGGAAATTTTCGGAAAAGTAATAAGGCTGTGCTCCCAATTTTTTGTGGCACAACAGGACCGAAAAGTGGTAAAGTTTAGTCTCGATCTAATCACCCAATTTAGAGGAAAACCAGTATTCTTTGATTTTTTCGGTCTTTTACCAATTTCGCCTCTGCTGGTCTTAAAAAAAGAAGTATAAAGACCAAATTTTGTCTTTAGCCATACTTGCTACGCCTCAAAATTTTAAGGGTGCATTCCTTATAATTTTTCCAAAGACCGGGCAGGACCGTTCAGGACCGAAAGACCGACTGATCATCTTTATTGCTGGTTCGCATATGTCTAACACTTGGGAAAGCTGTCGAGCCTTACTTTGTGCTGATTTTAATAAATTCTTATCTTCCGCTCTAAACGTTGCTTGAACTTTTCATAGATTTCATTTACATCACTGCTCGTATATTCGGTTTTGCTTGATATATGGGAGGTGGTCAGTAGAAAAGGGGACACAAATTTAAAAAATTAACAAAAAATTTTTGATTTCCCCTTTTCTACTGACCGCCTCCCATATAATATTGAAGTACTCCAAGTAAATTCCATCGGGTGCAGTCATCTGTCTCCAAATATTCCGTAATATAAGCGAATTCCATGACTAATAAAAAAATTAATTATAAAATTAAACACACACGTTAATAAATTAAGCATCATAAAGAAGTGTATCAGATGCTAACTATTCGCAAGGGGCAAATTCAACCAAGTAGTTAGTTAGCGCAAAGCTCACTGAATTAGCTATTCACAATTTAAAACATCAAGTAGCTTAGGAAAACCAAGTCTAGCTATTGGCAATGCGATCCGCTAAGTAGTTAGCTAGCTTAGTCTAATTATTCGCAAGGTGAAAAATCACCAAGTAGTTAATTAGTAGGTACCAAGACCAACTATTCGCAAAGAGAACCGCAAATTAGTTAACTATCTCAGAACTCATAATCTAACTATTCGCAAGGTGTATAAATCATAAGTAGTCAGCTCAGAAATCAATTTCTAACTATTCGCAAGGCATGTAGAACTTGACCCAAGTAGTTAGTTAGTATTTGTTACTTGTTATATAAGAAAGGTACGTAACGGTTCCTCTTCAAGAACAAACAACTTTTCAAAAAACATAAACTTCTTTACTTGCCTTGATAAAATTTGCGCGAGGTTTTTTTCAGGACGAATGATAGTAATAGATTTTTTTGCTTGGCAAAGAAAGAAATAAAAAATACAAAATACAAGAGCAGTTTTGAAAATTATTAGTAAAACCAGTTAAGTTAATGTCAAGAAAAAAAAATTTTCTCGATAACTAAAACGTGTTATTGAGCGCACGTCATCAGCAAGTAAACAAAAAAATTCTCATTGCGTTATCATGATGACATCATGATATATTGATTTACTTATATATATCGTGATCTAGTGGCTACAAATGTTATTGTGCGCCATCAAAATAAATAAAAGCGTTATCAATGATGAACAAATCATCACTTGTCAATTAAAAGCAATATATTTAACGTGAAATCATAATATCATGATTAAAATAAGGGCAGCGCCGTCCAAGTATATACATGGACAAATAATTCACCATTGAAGCAAGTCCATCCATTCTTGAAATCATATTAAATATTTTTTTTAAGGTTTATTAATTTTTTTATGTTTTTTGTGTTTAAAATGTCAAGAAAAGTGACTCATACCATGGCCAGATGAAAGAAGTTTTTTAAAAGATAAACATGATGTGCTGTAGTAAGTGCCACCTGTCCGATTTCTTTATTTATTGATTGAAATATGGTTTGATGTTTTCTGGTGCATAACATTTAGAAACAAAAAAAGATTTAATTAAATGACCTGAAATCTGTGTAATACAATTCAGGGACATTTTAACAAGCAAGGTTAAAGAATGAATTTCCTTATTATACAATGGGAACACGCTGTTAATTCTTTTTCCTTTCGTTTTCTTTTTCTTATCTTTTTTTTTTTCAATGGAAATAGTGAAGATACAAAAAAAAAAATTGTCTTGGCAAAAATTTATTTTTATCAATTCATTAAATCCCCTCCAATCACCTCCAATCATAATCTTCCGAGTGATATTAAACTAGTTAAGTTTAACAAAATTGATTGCAACTCATATAAAAGATAGATTAATAATTTAATAAAAAAAAATTTGAACAAATAAATTTCGTGCATAAATCAATACAAAGCTAGTCCACAAAGCACATTCTTTCCTAAAATAGATTGTCATCCTGTTTGAAGGGTGACAAGAATAAATCCAATCTGCGAAATGTTACTAAAAAAGGGTGTAAACCAAATTAACGTACATGAAACATAAAAAATATATTATTTTGTAGTATTGTATATTATATTGTTGTTGTATTAATTAAGTAGTGAAACAAAACTGAAACAAAAGTGGATTGATGTTTGTCTTCGTAACGTGGGTGGTCATTGGAATAAAACAATAAATATGTGCAATGAAATTAGATCTCTTATTTATCACAAAAAAAGAAAAATAATAAAAAATAACCCTTTCCTCCCCTTTTTTTAGTCGATTTCGACGCATTTCTCATTCATTCATTCTCTTCATTTCCTTGACGGAAATCATTTCATAGGAGACTTCTGGAAAGCCTCCGTCCTTCATTTTTCATTTTATTCATTTTTCAATAAATCATATACATATTAAAGATGAAAACGTCGGTTTCATTCATACTTTTATTTTTACTTTCTATTAGCATTGATTCTATAATAGTTGATGCAGAGTGTTGGGAACGTCCAAATCCACTTAAGCCGTTCGAGAAAAAAATCTCTTCAGTATGTGGTTTGCAAAAAAAGACAAAAGGCAAACTGACGGCAGATGTAGGCAAAGAATCACAAAAAGATGAAATCAATTCCTTGGCTGCAAAAGAAGCATTTAAATTCGATTTCTCTTGCGGAGTTCCGGATAAAGTTTTATGTACTAAAGCGGAAAATGCTTTTAAGGCGGCAGGGGAAATAATAGCCAACGTAATCATACTAGTTACCCCAATAACGGTTAATGCCACTTTTACCGATTTTTGTAAAGCTCTTAATGAATGTGATGGTACGATCCTTGGAGCGGCGAGCGCGGCAAGGACGATCCCTTTGCTAGATGATGATAAGGTGGTTAGACAATATCCTCAGGCGTTGGCAAAACAATTTTTGTTGGATCCAACACCAAAGTGGGGACCCTTTGACATTCAAGCTTTCTTTAATGCTCAAGCCGACTTGTTCTTTAAAGGAGACGGTGTGATTAAAAAAAATCAATTCGATTTCGAATATATCATTTTACATGAACTCATTCATGGACTTGGTTTTGCCTCCGCTTGGAACAATTACTTTTCTGAACAACCCGTTGCCTTGACCCCTGATCCCAATTTTCTTGAATCGATAACAGATTTAAATCAACCCGTAAAATTCACGGGATTTGAAGAAACAGCGTTTGATAAATATATGATAAACACAAGAGATAAGGGAGCTCCAAAAAGGATGACGGAATTTACAAATGAAATAAATAGTTTTGCAGAGATTGGAACCGATTTTCCATCCGTACAAGCTTTATTAAACACGTTCGCAGATTCTAAACAATTTCAAACGTCAAGTCAATTGATCCTTGATGGTCAAACTCCAAAGACGATGGCTTTTCAACCTCGTAATGTTAGTTCAAATGATATGGTTTTTTTGGAGACGAATCTAAAACCCTTTCGAGTGGGTTCATCAATTTCTCATGTGGATATAAAGTCTTTTAATAATGATCCAGATTTTTTGGAGGTTTTTAACGCAAAACCGGGTCAAACCTTGGAGCAAGTACTTAAGGCTACTGGTGGAAAATATCCTATTGGTCCAAAATTAAAAAGTGTATTAGAGACCTTGGGATACGCCACGAAAGAGAATCCAAATCCTTATAGACCAACATTATCGAACGATTCTATGAGTACTCCAAGTAATCTTCCTATTGGAAAGGCTACGAATGATCAATCCACCTCTTCCGCCACATCATTGACATTTAGCTTTAATATTCTATCTTTATTAGTCATCTTAGCCGCCACTTTATCATTTTAGAATTTTTCTTATTTTTTCTCTAGAACTTTAAATATTTATAATATTTTTGTACCAATATTTTTTTAATACAATCAAGTAAAGTGTATTTTAATAAAAAATGTAAATTTAAAGAATCGTCGGACAATCGTCAGACATTAAATATTAATTAAATATCGAATGATTCGTTCGAGTTGGTGACATGCGCATTTATTTACATAGTAACGTTCCACCATTAATTTATATAAAGTACTACAAAAATAAAAAAAAATTATTTCGAACGAGAATTAATCGACAACAGCAGGGTTTGAACCTGCGCTCCCATAGGGAATCAGATTTCAAGTCTGACGCCTTAACCACTCGGCCATGTTGTCCAATGAGTCTAACATTTTAAGGAAGTGTAAATATTTAAATAATATTTTCTGATTTCTCGATCTTTTTTTTTTTACGACATTCGCGGGAAAAAAAATAAAGTTTGTTCCAGATTAAATAAAAATGGATCTATTTTATTAGGTGACACTAACATCGATGTCACAATTATCTATAATAAATTATTTCAACAATTTAAATTCCCAATTATAAAAATAGAAAGAAAAAGAGAGTTCTCACGTCTTTTAAAAAAAAAATTTTTTTTTTTTTTTTTTTTTTTTTTTAGAAATAAAATACAAATATTACTAGCGTATAAAATGATAGATTCCTTCATTTATAAAGTGATGAATAAAACTAGTCTCGTAAAAGAATTACCCTCTTCCTCCACCTATTGTTATTATGGTGATTGCCGTTGTTGCTGCTGCTGTTGTGGATCGTTATCTTCTGCGGCCATAAAATGATGCTGATGCTGGAAAGGTGGAAGAGGTGATGATAATTCAACAAATGAAGTTGAAGGAGTCGATGATCCATACATGGTTTGAGAACGTACAGGAGGAGAACGCATCGATGGTTGATTGGCAGCCGAACCAACGGCACCTTCAGAAAATGATTCTTCAAAAGGTTCTTCTTTTCCTTCATCTTCTGATTCAAACAGTACCGGACTATCATATTGATGAGGAGGTTTTTTAACACTTCTACTATCTTTCTCTCTTGAATCTTTTTTACTTCTTTTAGCTGAAGGTGATAAAGTTAAAGGTCTTAAACCTCTAGCACCTTCTGCATTATTTTTTTTACGACGAAAAACGAAAAATAACAAGGTAGCTATAGCACAAACCAGCACTAGAAGGGTTATTATTACGATGACTAAAACAAATGGCGAATTTAATTTAAATATTCCTTCATTGGTCGTTGATGTTCCATTAGCATTCGTGGTGTCTGCGGATTTTGTCAAATCTTGTGGTGACGCTAATGATTCTTTTAATAAAGGTGGTGTTGGTTTTCCAGACCAATCGCAATTATAAGCTGATGTACATATTCCGCCTGATATGCAATCGGAATCTTCCAGACATTCAAATATGCACCACCCTTCTCCTGAACAGATTTGACCGACAATTGCAAAAGTACAATTTATATTCGATTGACATGATTGATATTCAACTGTTTCTGTCATGGATAGTGATAAATGATATTACATTTATAAAAAAAAATAGTTACTTTTTTTTTATGAGAAGCATTCAATTTACTCCAATGAAATCAAATTTTTTTTTTGTTGTGGGTGGTGGTGTTGGTTTCTGTCGTGGTTGCTTTTGTTGTTGAATTTATTTAAAAATTTTATCTTTTTTTTTTTTTTATATTTCCCTTTTCCTTTTTCCTTTATAATTTAACAAACAAAAAATAATAAAAATAAAAAAAAAAGAGTTGAAAAAGATTTTCAAATTATTGAGGCTATAAAATCTTTAAAAATTTCTTTTTAGGCTGAATTTCTTCAATAAGCCTCCCACGGTTCTTCCGGTGGTCAGGTGCGTAAAAGGGCTTAGACAACTTGCTTAGACTTTTAAATCATCGTTCAGAACAGGATGTTATCCGTGAACGAATTAGTATTACGTAGTCTACTAATCACGCGCGTCATTTCGTAAATCAAACGTGGCTGTGCAACACTTGCTTTCTCCGAAAGAAAAAATAAGCTTCATGTACATAGCCACACGTTGTGTATGACGGAACTATCCTTAATAAGGATGATGAAATTTTCGATCCTTGGATTTTAACACAAGTATATGGCTTCAATAATTATTAGAACGGTACAAATTAAAGCCGCATTTCTAACCGAAAAATCGGATTATTGTAACTCTAATGTGTAACTGCGAAAACGATGGCTCAGCAAAAAATTTCTTCACGTCTTTTAATCTATCCGACTTTTTGAATCACAATCAAATAAATGTACATTAAAAAAAAAATTTGTCTGATCGATTAATTGTATTTTATCTAAGCATTGATATTCTTGTTTTAAAATAAATTAAAAATTATTCTACCAATGTAAATTGATTTATTTATATTAAAAAAGCACTTACCATACTTCTTGTAATTTTTACATGTGATATCAATATATTTCGATAAAATGAGAGAAATTAATTAGCTTGTTACACAGCATTCGCACGCATTGCATGATGCCACAATCCTTTTTTTAAAAAAATCATTTTTATTTACAGCTTAAACATAGAAATCGTATTGATATAATTAAAAAAGTATAAAAAGAAAGATTATCTGTATTAATATCAGAAAACAATACAATTTCCACAAAAAAAAAAAAATTTAATCTAATCACTTCAAAGATGATGTGAACTTATTATTAAACATATTATTAGAAAAATACCACATTAAAGGAACTAACGGTACGATGAAATACCAAATTTGTGCTAATTCAAATACACTATTTAATTTCATTGGCACAATCCTCGGTGAATTATATCCCGTAAAATGTCCTTTTGTATAAAATTCTTCCATTAATGCATCCTTTTCTAACCATCTTTGTCTTAACCACTCCGTAAATTTATCATCGTCCTCCGGTATCTCTGAAATTGCATATCTTCGAATATGTAAATGTATATTACGAGGATATCGTCCCTCAAAATAAATTTTTAATAACGTGTATATCTCTTCTGGAAATTCTCCTCTCTCCACTCCTTCTAGTCCGATAGTTAGATCATATATATAATCAACTGATTTATGCAATGATCTAGTACAAAAATGTAACCCTGTGGATCGTGGTAGTAATACATGCTCATGATCCGACTAAAAAAAATGGAAGTAATTAATGAAAGTAGAAATGCAAAACATTGATCTTTTCGTAATACGTACCAGTCCAACTTTATCAGCAAATTTTTTGGATGTTAAACGTGTCACATCAGATACCACTGTTCCTTCTGGAAATATAAGCAACCATAAAGGTTCTTTGGACGCGGAGAGACTTGATAACGTCTTTGATAATGGGCCTTTATCAACAGTCCAATTTCGTTTCAAAAAGATAAATTGGAAAAATCGCATACCCTAATAAGATGAAAAGATAAAATGTAATGAAATTAAAATGTTTGCAAAAAAAAAAAAAAAAAAAAAAAAAAGGATTGGATCATGGGGCACATAGTTGTTCTCAGATTCTAATGAAAAAAAACTGGATGTTTGTGACATAAATCGTTTCATATAATCAAAATTAAAACAATTCTTACCCTATATAACAAAAATGTTAGTAACTAAACGGAATGGTATTAAAGACGGTATAAATTTTGAAAAGTATCGAATGTCTATTAAACCTACCATCCAAATATTGGTACCCATTTCAAGGAATCTTTTAATATGATCTTTATGGCACCATGAGCATTAGCCAAATACGAAAATACCCTAATTGTAGAAGTTGATGCAACACGCGACAGATTTAATTGATGGTCGATTGATTGGATGTTAACTGAACTTCGTTTACGCTTACCATATGTATAACCAATCAGCGTATATCTGAAATTATTTGTATTAGAAATTAAGTTTAGTCGTCATTAATTTCTAGAAAATAAACAGAAAACACAACTTACTTGATGATTCGCTATTAAGATAAGCCTTTCGGGCATATTCAATTCTATTTTAGCACCGTTCCAACTTTGTTTTAAAATATCTTTAGTGGATTTATCCAATGTGATAACAAAATTGCTAGGTGCAAAGAACTGATTGATGGCGACCAGAAGTATACCAAAACATATTTGAGTATGTTTAATATAATTTTGATAAAGGTTATTTTGAAGTGGCCAAAGAAATAAAAGGCTAAGGAATTGTGAAAAATTGAGCGCAATTGACTGCCCGGCTAGAATAAAACGCGTTGTGTTATACTCTGACTTGTTTTCAAAGTTACATAAAATGACAGAGACCAGCGAGTAAAAAATAAAACTGAAACTTACCATAGAAAACAACGAAAACAGCAGTTCGCACGAACCACTGCACAAAACTTAATGAATGTGGTCCTCTTTGAGCAGGCATTATTCTACAGTGTCAATGCTACAATTTCTAGAACAATACGACCGTTAACTTCAAGAAAACAAGAAAAAAAAAATTAGGGGTAAAGTTCCTTAAAATTCTCACATTTTATTTATATGCTTCCAAAGATAGTTATAATTGCTAAACCCGTGAACACGCACGGCCCGCATTATAGAAAATTGGGCGCGCATGCAGGAGACTGATCTGTCACACTTTGATCCTGCAGATTTTTATGACAAGGTTCAGCAAATGATAAATTTACACGATGTTATTATCGTATCGTTATGAGGAATCCTTCCAAAAAATTGTAATTTTTTTTGACCGGTGAATCTCAAATATTCGATTTAATAACGCAATATAATTAACCATTTTGAGAAGTAAATGTTTATCGCGAAATAAAACCTTTTTTTTTAGGCAAATCCTTTTTGGTATACGCAGTATAATCTGGTCCTGACTGGGTAAATTGACCAAAATCATATTAAAGATTGGCAAAAACCCAAATCTTTATTTCTTCATATGGTAACAAATAGATTATCTTGTCAATTACAGCTAACCTTCTTGAGAATTTTGATAATTAGTTGAAGAATACCCGAGAATCGATAAAATACTCTTAAAGTAATATATTATTAAATTTTCATGTGGTTTTGTTTTCTTTATATGACGTGGAAAATATTAAAAAATTTCAATTGACGCCACCCTTATTACTGTGATTAATGAATGTAACATTATAAAATTTAGACAATTCACGGAAAGTTCTCTTTTAATTAAGTGTAAATAATGAATTTTTTTTTGTGAAACGAAAACACCTGAATTGGACAAGTTTGCGCCACGAAAAAAGGTATATAAACGAATGAAATCAAAATTTCGGATTAGCTTTTTTTTTACCTCTTTCTTTTCAAGGAACGATGAAATATCATTCCCCACTAATATTGTTCACTTTCTTAATTTATTTCACTAACAATGTCCACTCCTTTCATCAATCATTAAACATAACCAGATCAATATGTTGGGATGTTCCGGATCCATTGAATTCATGGTATCGAATTCAAACATCATGTCCAACAATCAAATCATCGGGTAGTAAAAAGAGAGCTCCTATAAATAATTCGGAAATGTTTATAACATCATTTCAATGTAAGGTTGATGATTCAGCATTATGTAAAAAAGTCAAGAAGGCATTTGATACGGCAGGACAAATTATAACATCCACCATAAAGCTCAACACACCATTGTTAGTAAATGCCACGTTATTGGATTTTTGTAAAACATTAAATCAATGTCCCGATAACCTGGGTCACGTAACTTTAGGTGGTGCTGGACCCGCTAGATTCATTCCGTTAGAAGGTCCAGACGGTGTGCAAAGGGTGTATCCTCAAGCTCTCCTAAAACAATTGGTTCAAGGCATTGATATAGGATTTTACCAATATGATATCAATGCATACTTTAATAGCCAGATGGATTATTGGTTTGAAGGAGACGGTTCAATAGAACCGGGTCAATCGGATTTTTTATTCGTAATTTTACATGAATTAATTCATGGTTTAGGATTTGCCAGCGGGTGGGATTTATATGGTGAGATATTGGGTGTACCAGATATAATAACGCCATCACCATTTATATTTCAAGAGAATGACGGTAAATTTATTTTTGGTGGATTTCAGGAATTCATATTAGATGAATTCATGGTATTGTTACCCGAGGGAAATCGTGCGTCTGAAATTACTGTAGAATTGAATAAATTTTCTGGAATAGGAATTAAATATGATTCTCTTGGTGATTTCTTGAATTCTTTCGCGACTAGCTTTTCTTCTTCTCCTCAATACAAAATTGCCCAACAAATGATGGCTAGATCTACCACGCCTAAAACTCTTGGAATTTTACCTTTGAACAAGAATGATGTTAAAGATGCCTTTATCTTGGAGACTTCCATTTCACCTTACAGACCAAAGTCGAGTATCAGTCATTGTGATTACGCAACCTATACCAATACTTCCGATTTCTTGATGAGGTATTTACAAGATCCCGGTGTTTCTTTAAAAGAATCTATCCGTTTAGGTAAGAACTACGCCGGTGGTCCCATTGGTCCTAAATTAACAGAAACATTAACTTTATTGGGGTGAGTGTTCGTTTTTCCATTTAAAAAAATAAAAGTCAAAACAAAATTTTCTGTTTATATTATTATTATTATTATTATAAATTTAGTAAATAAAAAAAGTTTCTTTTTTTGTTGATTTCAGATACCAAATTCAGGATTTACCAAACCCATATAAACCAAGCCCTGGCGAAGTAGGAAAAGGTTCTGCATCATCTCTAAAGACATTTAGTCCTCGTTATAAAATTATAAAGTTCCTCTTTCAGTTGTCATTTAGTTATATATTATCTAATTATGGACTGTTCTAAGTATTTTTAAAAATATTAATGAGCTGATTTTATTGTAATTATAATTCTGTAAATAAAAAGATCTTTATTTAACAATAACAGGCAATTTCCAAGGACTATCAAATACGACGATATTATTGTTCTTCATATCATCAATTTATGATTATACTTCTATTATGAAAGGATTATAGATTATATAAATGAGAAATAAAACACGAAATCAACTCGTGTCAAAATAAAAAATTTCATGAATTTTTTTTTTTTAAAAAAAAAGGAAACGAAAATTATTTCAAGATTTAATTGTATTATATAGTAAATTGATGAATGTCTATTCAATTTACTTGTCTTATTTCGAATTATTTCGAAGGTGATTGATTAATCATTCCCAATAAATTCGAAAGTGAGTAGTCATAGTAGTTTATACTGGGCACACAAGTACGCTTTGTTAGTCAATAATCATTCGCATTGTTTAAAAGCCAGTCATGGCGTTTTTGTAAAGCCAATGATGTCATTTTTAAAACGAGAATTTCACCAAAGTTATACGCCTAACTTACTTGGGAAAAAGGTGATTTAAAATAAAATTCTTTAATGTTTCACCAAATATTGTAATATTTCAAAAAGATCACCTGTACATTCATGATTTGCATTGATATTCGTCATTTTCAAGGATAAAATTTTAAAATTATATAAATTATATTCAAACTTTATTTAATAATTACAAGAAAAAGCAAATGTTTTTGTTGAACCAACAATATAAAACATACTAAAAATAAAATAAAGTAAAAAAAAAAAATATATAATTATTTCATTGGATGTTGAAGCATTCCCTCAATGCATAACAGAACTTTCTCATCTGGATTCGAAACTAATGAAAAATAAATAAGAAAAAATATTAGAAATGAAACAGCAAAAAATATTCAAAATCTTTGTTAATTACATACGGGTGATTTTCGTATGCATCATTTTGCCCATATCTTCCATCGTTTTTGGTTCAGAATGTTTATGTTCAATAAGCCATGTTGCAGTAAAGTCGAAATTTCCCTTTTCAACTGGGCACACGAATCCGCTTGGCTCGACAAATAATTTACAATAATCAGATTCAAATTCGGGTTTTCCATTAGGTTCATGATAAATCCTCATTAATGCCCCTTCTTCAATAACTTCGGTAGTTTGACCAACCGTATGAACGGTAATATTTTGACCTAGGACGATTGGATCTGGAGACATAGTCATTAAAGTAAGGGTTACTGGATAGTCGCCGTTACAGGGTTTAAAGCCAGCGAGTGGTCCATCCATCATTCCTCGTAAATCTAATGGTATTGATTTAACGAATGATGTGAGGAAAAAGAAAATACAAAATAATATGATAATGCGATTCATTTTTACATGGGTTAAAAAATTTTTTTATTTTAGAAAAACAGCAATAACGAAATGACGCTAGTTTTATATAAAAAAAAAAGGTGGGAAATCAAGTGATTAATATTTAATATTTACTATTTTCATCATGCAGACACTGGATTTTCTTACAAGTGGGATGGAATCAAATTTCCATATATATTCAGGTTCTGGGAATTTTTGATTTTTATTGCATTATCGTAACTTTAGCCACAAAATTCCTTGGCAACATCTGATTTTTGCCAATATTTTTGTTTGTGATGTGATTTTTCCAACTTTACATTCGCGAAAATGCGGATCATCTGACATTTTAATAATGAAATTATAATTTATTATGCATCCATTTTAGGAAATGCATAATAGAAATTGTATGGCATTTGGCATATTATCTTGAATATATTAATGTATTTATAAATAATATAATGCAAAAATAGTTTCTTAATATATAAAAATATAAAAATTATTATTAAAATTAGAGTTCTGAATAGTTGAGCCAAATTTTGAGTCAGATGAGTGTAAATAAGTAGAGTTATGTCAAGTCAAAAAACATCTGACTCGTTAACTTGAGTCAAGTTTCAAGTTAAACTTAATATAAATCAAGTTAAACTCGTATATATCATTCTAGAAGTTTGAATGATTAAATATAGTTTTAAAAAAATTATAAAAATTATTTCAATAAAATGATAAAAGATCATTTTAAAGAAATGGTAGTAGAACTTCTGTATAATAATAAAATATTGTTTTAAAAGAATAATAGAAATATCTTTCTAATAGAATGATAAAACATGATTCTAAAAGAATAATAAAAAAATCATAATAGTAATGCAAATTATATTTATTATTATTATATATATATTTAAAAATATATTTCTATTTTAAAAAATTTGAAAATTTAATTATAATTTAGCAAAATTTAATAATTTTAAAATTTAGCTTTATATTAATAATTAAATCTTATAATAAATATTAAAAATTTATTAAGTATTTAATTATAAAATTTAAATCAAAAATAAATCTAAAGTAATAATATTTTAAATTTCATAAAAATTATTTTATAAAAGTTATTATTTTTATAAAAAAAAAAAATAAAAATTTTAATATATTAATTATTAATAATATATTTACTAAAATATATATTTTATATTTATTATTATATTAAAACTTTTAAAAAAATGCAAAAAATAAAAGATTAATAATATTTTAAATATTATATATTTATAATAAAATAACTAAAAATTAGTATACTAAAAAATGAAAAATAATTATAATAATAAATATAATAAATATCTTTATTAATTATGTATTTGTTTATAATAATTTATAAAATTTAATATTTTATAATATTTTTTATATTAATTTATATTCTTTTATTATTATTAATTATTATTAGATTTTAATATACTAAAAAATAATAAAAAGTTTTAATACTATATTTAATAAATTTATATAGTATTTATATATTATTAATAAAAAATAAGATAAAAGAAAATAAGTATAATTATATTATTGTAAAAATTTAATTGAAAATCTAGTTATTGAATTTGATATCTAGTTATCAAATTTGATTTGATAAAAAATTATGTGTAATAATTAATTTAATAAAATATTATAATTTTATAATTAAAGATAATATTGCAAAATTATTGTAGATTTATTTTTAATATTATAATTTTATTAAAGTATTCTTTGTTTTTTATTTATAATTAAAAATAAAATTATTAATATTAAAATATTTAATTTATATATATATCAATATAGTAAATTGATAAAATATTATTTTTTCCAATTATTATATAAGATTTAATAAAAAATAAAAGAATTCACCTATATATTCAATTAATAATAAAAAAATAAATTAATATTATAATTATACATGAAGTCGAAATGGATCATTTCAGATATCCGAAATGGTCGAAATGGTCGAAATCATTTTTTTTTTGATACTTTTACTAGGCACGCACAAGTAGTATTATATTTGGATGCATACCCTTCAACAGAAATAGATACGTCTTATAACACGTCAAATGCCACTATTAACCCCCCTTTGCTATTTTTCAAACCAGTGTGGGTTGGCGTTAAACCTAGGTGAAT